ACCGTGATGAGGACATTGGATGAGAAGATCTTTAAATCGGTCAAAATACTTCCAAAAGGTGTGACGCCCCTGGGTTCACACAAGGCTGCAGTCCGAGGTGAAACCTAGGATGTCAAACCTGCTATGCACCACACCGTGCAATAACATGTTTCACCATCACAATTAACATCTATCTAGTAGAGTCAACAACTGGTGTAGGTACAAAACAGGTAAAAGATAATACAAGGAATACTGATGAAATGATAATAGTCACATAAATATCTCATCATCCAACAACATAGAAGTACATAGTCAAGATCTGAGTAGATAAACTGAAATACTTGATAAGTCTCAAATACAAATATCTGACAATAAGGAAATAAGTCTCACAGCCTTTACAACTTCTAGAATAATACCCTCAAATGTTTAACCTCACTACAGTGGAGCCCAAAGAAAAATAATGCATAACTGGAAAGTAAAGCTGGACACTAATGTGGTCCGCTATCAACCTGCGGCTCTCCGTGCTCCTGGCTCGTGACCTGAAAGGGGGAGGGACAACGAGCGTCAAAAGCGCTAGCGAGTAACATCACAACCAACCCCAAGGGAACAGGGCTCGTTGTATAAGAAAATACAGATAATATATAATAGATCTAAAATCGTTGATCTCACTAAGGAGGGTTTTGGTATTTAGAGGTTTATAACACGAGAATAGGTACGTCGAGCGAAATAATCCAAACAAGGAAACCCTCATGTATATACCTTATATCTCAAATATATAAACTCCTAAATACTAAACCCAAGGTTCAAGCGCTGAAATAGAAGAAAAACGATAGACATCAGAATAATAATTGTGCTATGACATAACCAACATGAATATCATATTACTACTTACATGAATATCAGGTCAAAATCTTCATAAGTGTCATACCAAATCTATACATTCATCATGTTGTAAAATGTAGAATAATAATCGTATGCAGGGTTATGAATCATGTCCGAAACAAGAACTAACTATCGTAGTTATCCAAACTCGTGGAATAAGTGTCAAATTGTCCAACACGAGGACTGGGAGGGATTATAGTCCAACACGAGGACTTCTATGGATTATAGTCCAACACGAGGACTGTGGAACAATAAAAGAGTGCTTTCTCTCATGTAGTGAAATTTGCTCATTTATCTCATAACCAAAAATAATTTATAAGTCCCAAATTTACACCCCAGGTCACCTATCATGCATGGACACGTAGTGGGATCAATTACCATGGTCAGATAATCCAAACAAACCCCCAAATAGGAGTGAAAATATCCAAATACAGCAAAACTGGAATTATGCCCCAGAGGGTTCGTCGGTCGACCGGTCCGGTCGACCGAACTCTGATACAAAATTTTAGCGGACGCCCGCCAGACACTTCGGTCGACCGGAATTATGTCGCGGTCGACCGAATTTGAGTCGCGGTCGACCGAATATTCGTCGCGGCCGACCGGAACTCCCACTCGAACTCAGCGGTCGACCGCGTCGGTCGACCGCCGAGCGAACAGAACCCAACCTGGGTTCTGTCAGCTGCTGAAACAAAATAAAATAAAAAAAAATCTTGCGATACATGAGTCTTAAATAAATTGGAAACATACTGAAGATACAAAACCACTTCCAAAGCTTAAAAATCTATATTTCCAAGATTTTAAATTTCATGAGAGGTTAATCCAAATCATTTTAATAGCTGTAACGATGTTTTAAACTCTTTTAGGCAAAAACTCAGATCTAGATCTTCTTTAACAGAGCATGGGTGAGTTTTTTTACAACATATAAAGCCCCAAATCCATATTCTATGATATAGTAAACTGTTAGCTAAACAAAAATACGAATTTGGCTCCATAAATCCAATAAAACTCAGATCTTGACGTTTAAATCAAAAGGGGTGGGGGTTGGGCGAGAAATTACTCGCCTTGGGTGCTGAGGGAAGCCCTAGATCTGAAATAGGTTGATCCCTTTGCTGGAAATCCCAGATCCCACTGAAAATCTCCTAATCTGCTCCCAGATCACCAAAACCAGGTTAGGGTTTTGAGGAAGAAGAGAGGGGGGCTAGGGTTTACGTTTGGGGCTGAGGAGATCTCTCCTGGGTTGAGTTGGTATAAATCACGAAATTTTCTGCTGATGGCAATTTACATGGTGGCCGCAAAACTACTCGATTTCTCTCACTTATATATACCCGTTGGGTTCCCAAACCTTGATAAACATATATATCTTATATTTATATGGTTATTCACCACAAGGGAATTATTTATTATTAATAATTCACACACACACATATATATATATACACGAAATTTTCTGCTGATGGCAATTTACATGGTGGCCGCAAAACTACTCGATTTCTCTCACTTATATATACCCGTTGGGTTCCCAAACCTTGATAAACATATATATCTTATATTTATATGGTTATTCACCACAAGGGAATTATTTATTATTAATAATTCACACACACACATATATATATATATATATATATACTATAGAAATTTTTGGGGTTTTACACGGTCGACGACGGGGTATGTGTTCACTTTGACCCGTGCGCCGGTGTGTTGGAGATGCACCTTGCAGTATATGGTGGCTTTGTCTACGACAGAGGCAGAGTATATGGTGATTACAGAGGCTGTTAAGGAGACAATTTAGCTTAGAGGACTTTTGGAGGATCTTGGTGTTTCGCAGCGATCCGTCACCATTTATTGTGATAGCATGAGTGCTATTTATTTGGTGAAGAATCAGATCTTTCATGCGAGGACGAAGCATATCGACGAGCTTTACCACTTCTTTCGAGATCTTTTTAAAGATGAGGATGTGGAGCTCATGAAGGTCCACATAAAAGACAATCCAGCGAATATTCTCACAAAGGTGGTTCCGAGCAACAAGATCGATCATTGTAAAAATTTATTACAAATTCGTGATTGTTGAGGCCGTTCGCGGAAATTTGGATGAACTACGGACGACTTGATCCCTTGGGAGAGGAGGGTACATAGGCAACAATATTTGTGCAGCCGCATTTGGTGAGACGACGCATTGGTGCTCATGTTGATGTCGGCTCTGTTTTTGGAACACTTTGCCAATGTGGAGAATTGTAGAAAACGATATCAAATTGTGCAAAGTGTTCGCAAATATAAAGATTCGATAGGGGTGTGGTGTCTACCACACCCAGGTGTGACAGAATCTGCCCCTGTTGTCAGGGGTGTGGTGTCTGCCTCACCTCGGTGTGGCAGAATCTGTCCTGTTTTCAAGGGTGTGGTGCGTGCCATACCCGGGTGTGGCAGACTCGTTTTCAGATTCTCACCATGTTTGCGATTGTGTTTTGTTATAAATAGAAATACGTTTTTAGGGTTTCTTAAGGAGAGAATTAACACTTTTTTAGCACTTTGAGAGAGAGATATTGTGAGCGAGTTGAGAGCTTTGGTTAGGATTATATTTGATTAATTTTTTGAGTTGTAACCCGTTGTATTTCTCCTCCATATAGTGAAATTTCCCCATCCTCTCCCCGTGGACGTAAGCAATTGCCGAACCATGTGAATTCCTGTGTTAGGTTTTATTTGTGTCGTATTTTGGTGAATTGTACTCGTAATTTGGTTTGGTTCTCATCGCTCACCGACTCGTTTGGTTGTCGAGCACGTTTTCGCACAACGCGCAACAACTGATAGTGTACGTAACCAAGTAGTAAAGTCTCTCTATAACCCACTCTAGTCCCACATGAACACAAATAAGCACAAATAAAGAATTCACTTAACAACTTAATTCGTTTAGATCTGTATATACTTAATTTCCGTATATATAAGCTCCCATAGATAACAAACATCCATTTATAAATACATACACATCTCTCCTCTCAAAATCATTGAGAAAGAGAAATATTCAACATCGTACATTCAGTGGTAGATACCTTAAAGAGTCTTTCTCACATAGCATCCACCTTATTCAACATACACTCATACCATACATATTATAAGCATCCACTTCATAACTGAACAATCAACATATTATAAGCATCCACTTCATAACTGAACATTCAAACTTTAGCTAACAAAGTTGATTAAAGATTTTCAAGCGGTAGAACTCCCTCATCGACAAGTTGCTTGAAATTTATAGGGCTTGCATACTTCACAGATCCTTCATAGAAAGCCAACCCAGCTATCTCCGCCGTCTTGTTCGTCGGGTGGAGCACGTCCCAAAATACATGAGTCCGGCGATCTTTGCAGTAGAAAGCTGTTGCGTTGCACGGCTGCTCAGCATGGAACCTACCGATTCCACAACATGCAGATTTCACCTCTTCATACCCTGAAATTAATTAAGAAGGTGTGCAAATTCTTATATGAGCTAATTCAATCAAATGAGTTACACATACTAACTATTTGAGATAATCAGGTTAAGAGATAGTGTATTAGTGACTCTCGAGTTTATCTTATATAGAAAG